TTCCATACTTGCTTTATTCTTCATAAGTGCTTAGCACCATATAAGGAAATTTATAAAGACCTTTTAACTAGAAGCAAGCAATCTAAAATTACATACATTTTGCAAAAGGTAAAGCATGGATCTGAAGATAATGCAGAAAAATGCTCAGAGGATAAGGATAACTTGCCAAAAATAAAAAGCTCTCGGTTAATTAATAGTGTTTTTAGTGATGACGAAGAAAACATTGTTTAATTTATATTAATATGTATCACTTAAAAAATTTTAATGAAGATATTTATCTTAATAATGAAAATATACTAGCATGTTTTTTAATTTTTGAACCTAACCCTCCTTTTCGTATTAGTTCTTTGTTTCGTATAACACGGCAATTTTTTGGAACGTAACAACCGTGTTATATGGGGGTTACCTGTATAAAGAATTTCAGACATTATAATGAGAAAAGTTTGGCACAATATTTAAATATATCTATTAATTCTGTTTAAGTCTACTAAATATTTAATTTTCTCTGTATTTAAAACGTTTTCAACTCCTTTTGAGCCATCTTCACTTCAAATTACTTTATATTAGATATTCTATTAACAGGATGCAGAACAAATTCATATTGAATTTAAAACTTAGAAATAACTTTTTAAATTAGAAATTTAAGTTTAAATTCAAATTTAAAGAGTTAGTTCTAAGTTTTAAATTGTTCTTTATAATTTATTTTAGCCTATTTAGCTTAAGTTTTGTACTGCATGCTGTTAATAGAATTATCTAATATAAAGTAGTTTATAGTGAAGATTGCTCAAAAGGAATTGAAAATGTTCTAAATATAAAGAAAATTAAATATTTAGTAGCCTTAACAAGCAGAATTTATAGATATATCTAACTCCAGATAATTAAATTAATAAATGATTTGATATAAAAAGATTTATACTATTTAAATATATGTATAAAATAATAAAGAAACATTGAAAATATTCTTTTGATTAATATTTTTTCAGGTATCAGAACAGAATATTATCCAGTTCCGAAACGCGAAAAAAATCTGAAACTGAAACAAAATCTGATCTTGATCTTACAGAAAATGATAACGAAGAGACTGTTGAAGATAATATTTCTACAAATTTCGTCGAAAATAATGATGAAAAAACTGTTTTAAAAGGAACTTTTCAAAATCTTGAACGAATGAATGAGGAGGAGTCTAAAGAAAAGATGAACAAACTATCAAATGGTATTGAGGGATATTTTTATGGACCGGGTGATGGAATTTTTAAGACTCAACAACGAAGAATGCTAAGCACTATCACCGAAATAAATTTAGACGAAGGTAAATAAATTCAAGTATGACATTTTAAAATAATAATAATTCGTATAATAAGTCGTATTTATATTTTTATGTATTAAATGTAAATAACGTCGGCCATGAATTTTATTATTTTTAATATTTTTTTATAATAATAATTCATTAAAGTTAGTGTTTTTACAATTAAGATTAATTTTTGCAATATGAAGTCATCTTCGATATCACTGAAAAAACATTAAATATTTTTTTTTCTGTTTTAATGGATCATATCATTTCAATGAGTTGATCCAGAATTATTATAAAATTATTACTTAAATTGCAATAATTGTATAAAGGACATTTTAAAATAAGAATATGTTAAAATTTTGCAAACTATTTTCCTGAAATTATTAAATAATAATAGATGAAAGAATAATTAGTTATTGATATAAAATTAGTAATAATTATGATCTTTTATCCTTCAGAATTAAATTATTTAAATGAAAATTTTTCTCGTTTATCTCTTCGAAATATTATTAATATTAATATAGGAAAAAAAGATAATTCAATATTATTGATATTTAACTTCTAGTTTTCAAGCAAATTCATTGTTAAAAATACAGTACTAAGTAAATGTATTTGGAAATCGATTATCTCTTGTCCGAATAATTAGGCAACAGATAAAATTAACTGTTTATGAAATTTGTCAATAGTACTCTTAAGGCCTATTCACAAAAATCAACAGTTAGAAGTTAAACAATTACCATTCATTACTTTTAGTGTATAAACGCGTATTAGTTAACTTCTAACCTTAACTCATGGTTCTTGAATGTGAATATGGACATTAGAGGAGTTTAATATTGTCCACAGGGAGGAGTTTAAAAAAATCGTTAATAAACTTATTTGTGTTAGCATGCTAGACTATTAAATTTCGTTTTGAGATAAAGAAAACAAGATCTTCTACAAGAGATATAGGAGATTGGAAATCAATATTGTAAGATAATATATATTATATTATATATATAGTAAAATTTATTTGGTTATAACCTATATGAATTCAAAGAACTCTTAACAAATCGTCGTTATGATGTTAAAATATATGGAAATTCTTTATAATAATTATTTGCTCATATATCATAATTATATTTCGTTCAATCACTCCTTGAGAGAGAAAAATAAACGTAATTTCTAGACAGAGAATAGTTTTTCCAACCATTTAATATTTTTTTTTTTTCTTACTGATTTGTGTATTTTATTTATTTCTTTGTAATAAGTACGTTTTCATTGGCTGATTTTATTTTAGAGAACACAAAACAGTAATTTATATAATATAAATATTTTTATTGCTGTTAATATTCTAATTAAAATGAAACTCGTTTACCACTGCAATGATATATATAGATCTCATGCATGTTTATGTTGTTGAATTATATATATTCAAACCATTGCTATTAACATAAATCATGTGTATTCACAAAACTGTAAAATATAAAACATTTTTAAACTTTAATTAAATTATTTTCAACAAAGAACTACTCTATTAGACGTCTTAGTTCTTCAGTTCGAAGTGAAAAGAGAAACAGTAATTTAAATAATATTTTAAAAAAACGAGTTAAACAAACGATTTTGTAATTAATTAACAAATGTATTTATACATATTACATACCTTATTTATTTCTATAAGTAAATAGAAAAGTCTCCCCTCTGTTATATATAACAGAACTAGGAAAGTAAAATGAAAAATTAATGTAATAAAAAATTACAAAACATCCGATAAATCAGACAAATTATACTATTTTTTACAATATTTATTGGCATATTGATCATCCATTGTAATAATAATACTAATACAGTAATAAATCTGCACCCAATAAATAAGTAAAACATATCAAAAGTTGAAAATTTACATAAAGGTGATATTGAACTAAATCTTGTGATTAAGTAAATACGAACAAGTAAAATGAGAAACCTGGCCTTCAAAAACAATTAGATTTTTCATAAATTTATCATTGGAAAAAAATAAGATTGTTTCGGTTTACATTATTTTGTTTTTAATATAATTTCGCTATTATTTAATCTGGGAACTATATGTTTGTTTATCACATTAAGCATAAATTTTAATTTAATAATTAAATGTTTATTAAAAAAAAAGTTAAAAGATTTCATGAATTTATGAATTTCTTAACTTTTTCAGATCAAGGTGGATTATTTCGTGCTAGCGAAAGGTCAGAAATAACGAATGGAGCTAAGGAAATTCAAGATAGCGCTGATACTTTAGTGGATTTTCCGGAAGATGAAGTGCAAGCCGAAGAAATTGATGTAAGTTTCGTACATTAAATTATAATATTCAAAAGACTATCATTAATATTAGTAAAATTTGAAACGAATCCATATAAATTCGATCTCATTTATTCATCTTCAGTCTAAAGAATAGCTTAGTCTTGATAGGTCAGGTAACTGTAGACTTATAAATTCCTACTGTCGTTCGTCTGTCCTTCCTTAATCTCGGGAACGAAGTTAGCTAGACGAAAGTCGAGATCAGATAAGGAAAACTTAGAGGCAGGAGCCCCGATTAACTACATACAAACTTCCAGTACAAATAGGAAGTCACGTTATTTCAATTCAAAAATCCCCCCCGAAAGGAGTTATCAATAGATAACAGGCACGACTTTATTGTTAGAGGAAAAGTATGATGTACAGGGGCAAGCCACTACTAATTTGAGATTAAAAACATACATTTGAAATTAAATAAATTAAACAAAAGTGATTAAAAATTGCAGCCCGGCATTGTGACCATGTCACAATAAATAATTACTATTGGCAAGTTTCTAGAGGCAGTTATCATGGAAACAATTCCACACGACATCTCTAGCCGCTGCACATTTAGTCACACCGCTGAGGAAAATTCCGGAGGAGGATGCACACGTGCAATAATTCATATACAGTAGATCCCCCTATAAGACGGTAGATACGTTCCGTTCTTTATGAATCAATTTTGTAGGAATCATAGTTTACGGACTACGGCTGTTTGAAAGGTTTTCTTTCATAAAATTAATCGATTCTAGACTAATTCGACTCAACATTTCCAAAATACGTATATTTTTTTNGTTGTCTCAGGCACTTGGGAAGCCCGCTGAGCATAAAGAGAGAGTGTTCTCCTCTGTTGATCTTCTCAGAGACGGGTTAGTGCTGAGACCGGACCGACCGTGCAGTTGAGCCTGACTGACTGAGGTCTCTCCAAAGATTATTAGTTCCCAGACGCCAACCTGGCACGTGAATTCACCACGCATGGTCATCTTGTACATATACTATGTTTTCTAACTTGTACTTTCTATCACTGTAAATAAACTGTAAATATATTCAATTTGAGTGTGGAGGTGTACTTTCCGACGAACCTGATTCATTACATCGAGTCGTGAAACACAAGAAAACGACCCAGCGAGACGGAGTTGGGAAGGAACGGCAATAAGATCTTCACTACAGGCACGACTTTATTGTTAGAGGAAAAGTATGATGTACAGGGGCAAGCCACTACTAATTTGAGATTAAGAACATATATTTGAAATTAAATAAATTTAAAAAAAAAAGTGATTAAAAATTGCAGCCCAGCATTGTGACCATGTCACAATAAATACTATTTGCAAGTTTCTAGAGACAGTTATCATGGAAACAATTCCAAACGACATCTCTAGCCGCTGCACTTAGTCACACCACTGAGGAAAATTCCGGAGGAGGATGCACACGTGCAACAATTCATATTTTTTTTTACTACGCACGAGTCGTAGATATTCAAGATGACGAAAACGATTGTCACGCTCGTTTAAATTCTATATTTTAAATTGCTTATTAAGATATATTTTCTTCACACTAGAAAGCGGTGACAGTCTATCTAATTGACTGATCTATTAATGTTTCTAATTGACACCTTTGCATAGCCGAAAATACTACCTATTTCAATAAAGTTCTATATCTCTGTCGCTTAACGTTTGCCGTCATCAAGCCTTGACTGAATTATATTAAAGAATTTTCAGTTATATTTGTTTCAAATTTATAAAAATAATTTTTATATGAGAAATTAGTAGGCGTATTATTATTATTATATAATAATCTAAAAATGAAGGTTTGGTGTTTTAAATATTACATTTTTCGAATTTATAAATTGATTTGCAAAAACTTTAAACTTTATCTTACCGGATACACTTGTTAACTTGATACAGATGGAAATTATATTATCAAAACATAAATACAATCCAAAACTCATCAATTCTTTCCATTTTAAATCATCACATCAGCTGTTAAAACAGTGACCTAGATAAGAAAAGAATTACATTTATTTCCCCTCCTTTACACTATGTTTATACGACAAACGTTAACCTCGATTAAGCCTTAGATCCCGATTTAACTTTTCTCATTTGAACAGAACTGCGTTAACTAGGATTAGATCAGTATTGTACGAATTAGATTATTTTAACACCATTTCTGTAACTGACTGCGGCGTCGTGTCATTAACCTTTTTAAATACAGAATAAAATCATTTATTAACATTAAATGCAATAGTTAAAATATTCTTTATTGATTTAATGTTGTTTTTTCATTTAGTATTAAAGTATTTAAATAATATAAAGGAAATCTAACAAAAATTTATTTTATTAAAGGATGAGATTACGCCAGAAATGGAACGAGCAATGCAAGACCTGGACTTGGAAGATTCTCAACAAATTGTAGCATTTGTTCCTTCATTGCCAAATAAAACTTCTGTAACTCCTACGAAACAGCTAATGAGAACAAATACAGAATTGCATTCCCGTCTCCAAAATACTTTTGTATAGATCAACCACATAAGTTATTCAATCCTATCATTTTCTGCAACGAATGATTCGTACTATTCATTGAGGAGATTATTAAGTGTTCATGTACATTTTCTTTATTGTTATTTATAAATATAGCGCTTTCCACAGATTGTTATATTGTATAGGGGGATAAAAATGTCCTACTACACAATCTGAACAACGAATTGGCTGAATGATACCAAAATCTAATTGGCATCATTCGATGGACGTTATTTAACAAATTTTCATTCTTTCAAATATTTATTTCCTTTTTATATTCTATATTTTATCGTTAATAAATCAAAATTTTTATCTTGGATATGTAAAAATTTATATACGAAATTTGTGCTGTATTTTGCTCAATACAACTAAATATTAATTTCTTATTTGCCTGTTATTTAGAAAAATTACAGTAATTTTGTTTTATTATTATTATATTATTCAATATTAAAAAATACTTTGAGTCAAAGAAAAATATTTTTATGTGGGAATAAATATATTTTTATAAAATGCATTATTTTGTTCATTAATGAATTGAATTCTATTATTTATTAAAAATAATCTGATTTTAAAACGAATTTAAATATATTTTCTATTAATGACATATCTGATACAAAACAACTTTAAAATAATTAATCGAAAGCAGCTTATACTTTGGAACAAAATTAAAATATCTATAAAAAAAATGATTAATTGGTTTGAAATTTATAATTTTATATTATTTACTGATAGATAAATAAGTCTGATACAGAGCTATAGAGATAGATAGATATGATATCTACATGCAACATCTGTACTGTGCTTAAATCAAGTTTATAATATATGCAGAATATGTTTTAAAACTTTTTCTTTTTGGCAATGTTTCTAATGACAAAGCACAATAACGTCCATTGTTAATATAAATATATTTTACATATTAATTTCAAATGATAATTTTATGAAATATATTTTTATTTTTTACATTTATCAATACTTTGAAATGACAATTTTTTTGGTTAATCAAAATCTTTTTGAAAATGAGCTGTATTATATGTAATGCTCTGGACATCAGTACATAGTGTAAGGATGTACGGTGTTTGTTGTCACTACATGATACCTAATTCGCCAGGAAACTGAGCCTAGGAAAGATCTGCGGGTATAAATCATGTTTGTGGGTGTCGATGAATTTAGACTCCAAACGCCTTTACAAGTTTATTGTCACAAAACAAGGTTGCTTACATAGTTAATTCTTCAAGTTCTGTTGATCATCCAACAAAGACTTTTTTGCCTTGAGATCAACAGTTTATAAGTTCACGGTGAAGTTCAATTGGCACTGGGTCCAGGATGATGTGGCTGATGAGGTGGTGAAATGAGTCACTTAGTTCTTGAAATATCTTAGTTCTTGAAATATCACCGCTGTGTGGAATGCTTCATCACACAGTGGTTCTCTATCTTTCTTCTGAGTTCCTCAACAATAAGGTCGGGCTGGAGTTAGTAGACTGATGCGAGTGAATAGAAATATATTGATGGTACCCAGTTCAGGTTGGAGATTATATAAAAGGTTGGAGAAGCACGATTTGACCTTGAGATGTGGGTTTATATAGAATTTTTCCAAGGACCAAACAATTTAATTGATCTCAAATCCTTCTCTTTCCTCCCCGATTGTTCCCTTCTTTGTTTCCAAGTAGGACGAGACCTGATTGGGGCATGAGAAAGGTCAGATCTCAATGTTAACCCAACACCACATCACAATCTCAATGACGGGATGTTTAAATGAACCTTGAAACTTTTGCTCGTATTTCTATAAGTTTTGTTTTCTCTCTTGTCAAAAATTTTGATTAATAAATAAAATTTATTAATCGAAATATTTTATAGCACTTTGAGTTTGCTGTAATTTGTCCAATTTACCAGCACCCAAGCCAAAGTTCGTCTTCCCGGTTAGACACGTAAACTCAGTCATCTGACACTTACATCTATTGTTTTTTTTTTATCTTCATGTTGTGTTTATCTTATGAAATTCCTTTCCCAAGTGGATAGTTTTTAAACAAAAGTTAGTGAGGGGTTAAGACCTCATCCAGAACCTCACATTAGTACATTCTGATATACATATATAAAACCTATTGTATAATATAAGTCTCTTTGTTTTTATGTACATGTATTTGTGTGATATGAACAATCAGGTAATAAACATCTTCACAAGCAAATGGTCCTATTCTAATATTATTAGAGTAAGGTCAGCAGAAGCATAATTAAAAAGCTTAATAAGCTTGTTAATTTTATGCTCTGGTTTATTGATAAACATATTTTAATGAATAGATGAAATAACCACAATTTGTAGAACTGAATATGTAACAAATTGAATGCTTTTTAATAATACTAGAAATAACAATACTCTTTACGGAAAACAAAATAAAGTCAGTCCCCAAGTTACATTCTTAAGTCTGTCTTTAGGTTGAATTTATAAGTCAGAACATGTATATATGGTTGGTATTTACCATCAGTTACTTAAATGTTTGTCTTAGTATGTAATATATATTTTACATAAAACACTTACAGATCACTTCCAAAGAAGGCCAGTTATGACGAACTAAGAAGAGGCTAAGCGCCTCAGCCTAGTTGGCAGTACCCATATATAGTATACACTTTCACTTTCATCATGTAAACTTAAGCTACTGTTACAGTTTTAACCCTTATACTATAGCTAATAAACTCAATGCTGGCTGGAAAAGAAAAAACATCATTCAGAATTTTTTTAGTTTGCCCCAATGATTTATTCTTTCCTATGGGACTGCTTCCAAATACATTAAAACATATTAAACACAATAAATACAGAACATAATAATAACTAACATGATAGAGTATGTTAATGTTTTGTGATAAAGAGATGATCCTACATTATAAATATGAATAGGATTCTCATTTATTATAGTTACAAAAATTCCTGTACAATGTCCTACTCTACATTGAAATTTAAGTTTTAGAATTTAATTAAATTATAAATTTATAATACTACTAAATGAACATAACATAACTTTTAATTAATTTCATTTATTTATAAAAATACATATTTAAAAAACTTGTAGATGAACACAATCACAATAATAATGACTTTTTGTCTAATAATTTAACTGGAATGAACACTTCAGTTCTGATGTGATAATATAATATGTTAAAACAGTCTTAAATTTCTACAACATCTATACTTGGAAATTTCAGTTTCAAAATATTCAGATATGAATGTAATGAATTTGACATATCAAAAATAATAAGAATATTTTATGAGACTATGAGCACTAAATTTTGGCTCTACGGAGGACTTATCACACACTATTGACATAGAGTAATCACACAGAAGTCTGTAGACAGGTTTATTATTATTATGATGGTATGTATTTCGGACAGGTTGTCTGTCCCTCTGCAGTTGCATTTATTACAATTCGTCATCATAATAATAAACCTGTGACTACAGACTTCTGTGTGATAAGTCCTCCATACAGCCAAAACTTAGTGCTCATAGTATCATGTTGTAACATAAGAACAAAAAGCAATTCACAAAGAACATTTTATGTTTTAATAAATAAAAATAAAATGATAATATTTTGTATATACTTGTATAACTAAAATAATATAAATAAGTAATTATAATATATTTGTTTAGTAATTTTAAATATAAATTCAAAATATAAAAAAATATAATTTCAATCTTCATCTAAGAATAATTGTTTTCATTATCATTATGCAAACCTGAATATTTTAACAAAATCATTTCTTTGGTTTTTATGTAGAAACATTTTCAAATATTTCATGTTATTGTGATATTTCTTTAATTTCTCCATGTAAATTCTTTCTATTTGATTTCCAAGATAAGTATGAATTCCAAAAGATAGCAACAACATTCACAAAAATAACTCTAAAGAAAAATAGTAAGACTGATTAAAATATGCAAAAAAATGAAATGTAATATATAATAACTCATCAATATTTTAAATAAACCAATATTAAAATCAGCTAAAATGTACATGTTATATAAAACAAATTCTGTAAAAGTTATTATAAATATAGCTTTTAATTTTAAAAAAATTGATCAAGTAGAATTTATGATAAATCAAACTTATATTTAAAAAATAATACACATTTCTGATCTACATTTGATCTACAGCTCAAATTTTCTCTTTGAATCTTTCAAGAAGTTAAATTTACAGGGCAACATCATACATATAACTTTAATGTCATTAGAAATTTCTCACTGCACAGTAACTTATTGGACACCCTGTATATTATTATTGTTTAAAAAGTCAATTTATATTAATATACCAGTGCATATATTTTTCATTAATAGTTAAGTCTATGTTTTGATACATTATATAATTTATTACATCATTCATGTTTTTTATCTTGATATCATATATAAGACGACATTCAATAATAATAATAATAATAATAATTGTTATTTATCTTAATATAATTTAAATAAATTATAGCTTATGTCAATTTCATGAAAATCATTTAAAAATTTTTGTTTATTAAATATTGTGTTTTAGTTAGAAATTTCATTTTATTCTTTTTTTATAAATATAACTTTAAAAAATTGTGAATCTAATATAAATTATATTGATGGGATGATTATCAACTTAGTTGGTTAATGATGAATGATTACTTGGGATTGTATAATCATCTAATCATATGATTAATTGTTAACTAATCATTGTCGGGTGTTTTTTAAAATATCTTATAAAATTTGAATTTTTATATACACTCATTGCCATAAAAATTAGCACACCAAGGAGTTGTCATATTGCTACAAAACTTGGCATGCAAATAAGTCTCAAGCAGATATGGAAATGATTAGAGTTATATCATGATGGCTCATTGCATAATGCCAACAGAGAGCAATAAGGTGCATCCCCTTGGCCTATAAAAATGCATGTAAAGACATCCTGTTTGAAGTTTACCTGTTGCAAAGGGATGCTGTAACACAAGAGATGCCTTTATGTTACAATTGAAGATCATACAAACAACTAACCGAGTTTGAGAAGGTAAAAATCATCAATCTCAATGATCATTTTACTGAATATTCTGCTACCTAGGCTGTTCTGACAACACTGAGATGTTAGGAGCAGTGAATGAGAGAAAGTTTGCACACACAGCATCCAAGCTCAGGATACCCTTGGCAGACTATTAGCTGAGAGGACCATCTGGTCCTCCAACAAGCACGCACACAGCCGACTGTATCATTGTCTACCATCCAGACACAGGTAGTGCTTCATTACAGGCCCTTATATCTATCTGTACCATTTCAAGGCTCCTGGGTGAGAAACATTTAGCTGTCATTGACACTACCCACTGTTGCCTCCATTTGGAGTAGTCCAATCATTCCCGACAGGATTGGACCACAACTGAATGGAACTGGATCATACACAACAACAAATCCAGATTCAGTTTAGACACTGATGACAACAGTGTTTGTGTCTGGAGGCCTGGTGGTAAACACCTCAATCCTGCCTCTGCTTTGGAGTGGTACACCACCCCCACAGCTGGTGTGATAATCTGAGGTGCCATCACATATGACTGCTGGTCACCTCTAGTAGTGATCCAAGGGACCATGATAGTCCAGTGGTATATTAATGACATCCTGCAGCCACATGTGTTGCCTCTCATCACAGGTCTCCCAAGAACCATTTTCCAACAGCCACATTGCCACACTTTCCTGGCCTGCCCAATCCTGATTTGTCACTGATCAGACATGTCTGGGATCATCTGTGATGCTAAGTTGGACAGCCTAGGAGTTTGACTGAACTAGAGGACCACTTGCAATAACTGTGGACTGAGATGTTGCAGGACACCATAATAATACTAAAAATAACAATATGCCTTCATGCCTGCCCATATCACATAGTGTATTCACACTACAGGTGGCCCAACAGGGTACTAGAACCTCCTTTCATTTGTAGTTTTTCCTGCAATAAATTATCCTTTTGCTTTCATTTTGTAATCACTTACATCATGGTTACACTCACACACATACAATTTAGTTCTATTCTGAGAATTCATTATCATTATGCTTTATACAGTATATTAACAGGTGCATAGCATAATCATGCTGCTGTTTTTATATTCACATAATAAAGAAACTCAGAATCTCTCTTGTTTTTCATTCTGTTCACATTGCATTCTAGTAGGCCTGCTTATAAGATTTTAAGAGAGTAGTGTGTGATTAGGTATATAAATAATTGACTTAAAACTGATGCAATTGACAGATAACAACTTTTCAGCCACACTGGATTCTTAAATTCAAAATGCTTGGATGCTATGTGTACTCTCTTCCTTGCTCCTTTAATGCCTCTTTCAGGTTATTTCCTATTCTCTAGTAAATCAATGTAACAAATCTAACCTATTTATAATATTTAGAGTTAACAACTGTCTGCTTTTGAACTGAACTGTCCAGTTACGTAGGGTCTGGTACCAATCTTGTCTGGTATCCAACTGAAAAGTCAAACCGAACATTGGACAATTTCATTCGAATAATGTACAGTGACAAATTACTAATAACAGAAATAATTTACTGTTTTGATAATTTTGATTATACTAGTTTCTTGAAATTTAGTTTTGTTATAATGCTTTGTTATCTTTATTAATATGGATTATATACTTTATTGGCAGTTCTATACTGATGCCATTCTGAGCAAATATATCTAGCATTTTTCCATTATTAAGAGATAAATTAATTGATTTATGTCACAATTACTTCCACACAACAGACAATCTTTCAAGTGCAATATAGTTTACAAAACAATATGAAATAATTGGAAATATAATAACAATCTACTTGTTTAAAAATAAAAAATTTCTTTCAAAAATAGGCAGATGCACACTGAAAATTAATTGATTGAAACTAATTGCTTAAAAAATATATACTTTTAAAATGTATTAATACCATAATAGAATATTTTCAGTCTGAATGAATAAAAATTTCAGATGAGAAAAGATGCAAAAATTAGCAGTTTCTAATGGAACTGGATGTGTTGCCATGGTTATTCTGAATTATTGTTATTAATAAAGCTATCATTTCTTTAAATATCATTCATTTTTTAATGTTAATTTAATAATTTTAAATTTAAAAAGTAATAATGTTTTCTAATGGAATAATAATTTACAAATTATTCTGATTATTGGAGAAATAATTGTCAAGTGATGATTAATTAATGGAGGAGACAATTAGTACAATTCACAATTAGAAACAATTAATCAGTACATCTCTAATAAATTATGTTAATAAAATAATTTTTCAAATCTGAAATTATTAAGGAATGAAATATAAAATACCTGAATTGAAAGGGAATTACATAAAATGTAAACAGTTGAACAGTTGGCCATAGCTGAAATATTTTAGTTTTTTTTATAAAAAGTAATTTTAAAGATTCAAATAAAGTGAAACATAAATATAATCATGTAAGCAATAACATTCTATCAAAATAGATATAAAGCTAAAATAGTAATCATATAAAAATATTATCATAAAAGTTCATAAAACTTCTCATCAACTTTAAAAATAAATAAATAAATAAAATTGCTGTTTACTTAAGAAACATTTTTTCATTAAAAGAAATGTTTTTTTTTGTCAAAATTTGACCATCTTAGCTTAGAACAATAAACAGTTCATAGAGAAACTGTTTAACTGGTTCTACACAAAATTAACTAATTCAGCAGTTTAATACAAACACATTACAGCCTTTCTTAAATCAGCAAAACATCAATTTAATAAACAGTTAACTAACTGGCATTTTCACATATCTTCATTGGCTATCATCAAACTGTTTGACAGGATTGAATGTTTTTAAAGATTGTAACTGGATATGAAACATCAATGCAAAGGTAGTGAGCAAAAATTGAAAATCAATCATAATGCATTGTTTGGTTTTAAATTTGTGCTTGATACCTTTGTGTTAATATTTCATATCTAGTTATAATCTTTAAAAATATTCAATCCTGTCAAGCAGTTCAATGATAGCCATTGAAGATATGTGAAAATGCCAGTTAGTTAACTGTTTATTAAATTGATGTTTTGCTGATTTAAGAAAGGCTGTAATGTGTTTGTATTTAATTAGTTCTAATTCAATTTTGACTAAAAATGTTTTTTTTTTTTTTAATAAAAACAGTTCAGTTTTCTTAAAGGAATAATGATATGATTTATTTATTTAAAAAATCTTTATCTTTTTATTTTTGTTTGAATAAAAGACTGTGAAAATAATACATTAAATGATAAATAAGAATAAAATTAAATATTGCTTACCTTATAATTAGACATCAGTATTGTTACATAATCCTAAATAAGAAATATATACATACATATATTATATAGATATAAAAAATATTAAAACAGATTAACTTATTTTAATAGAAAATAAAATTAAATAAATACAGGTAGTCTTTGGTTAACATGGTAGATCAATGCTGACTCAATGAATGAGGCAACAAGGTGACTGTCTCAAGTGGCAAAATAAGCAGTCAAAAATGTTCAAAAGAATGAATAAATAAAAATAAAAATAATAAACAAATGTACATTAAAGTTATTTATAAATTGTTCATATAAAAGTGCCAGTGCTAGAAATGTTCTTCATTAGCAACCATTCTGGAAGCAGAGGTGGAAAAATCAGTTCCACCTCAGGTGCAATTTACCATTAAACCTGCACTGTGGTAGATACATTCTTTGAAAGTAAATGAAAATTTATATTATATAAGATAAGAATATATGTAATAATGATTAAATGCATTTTTTATTCCCAATCTGTATTTTTGAAATTGCTTTGACTATTTTTGTTTGTTCATCTTGCAGGATGGTAAGTCACAAGTCTTTTGTTGTGCAAATGCTACAACTTGGAAGCATGTCAAATCCTCATCATCTAGGTGCTGAATAAATACTCTTTAATGTAGATTGTATTTGCTGTCATAGCAAAACAATTAATATTACAACCAAATGCTTCAAAATACTTAAGACAGAGATTTTTAAATTTTAATTTTATTCTGTGAACATCCTCTTTTAAATGATAGAAAAAATTCAAAGATTTTTCTTAGGATTCATTGCTTCAAAATCTTTTCAAAATTAAAAATTAAAATAAATCTTGTTTAAAAAATAAATTATTTTATAATTTATTTTGTTTCTAAAAAATAGATTAATATATTCTCCATGCAACACCTACTAGTGACTTCCCCGAAACAGCATTATTAGGGGCAGTCAAATGAAAACGAGACAGACTATATAACAAGTGTGGCATGGAAGTTGGTAATGCAGGTAGGTGTGTATATAGAAGTGCCCTCTATTAGGAATCAGGAAGGAACAGCATGAATGTTCATTGCTGTGCCATTTGTCTATTAGATGTGCTTGAAGTGAGGTCGACGAGTCGTGTGTGTGTCCAACATCACTAAGGAGGTCCGCTGCTCATTGACTTTCTGGAACACGGTGCCACAATTAACACACAGCAGTACATAGAAACTTTGCAAAAATTGAAGCGTGCCATCAAATCCAAACACCCAGGAATGTTGACAGACAGCATCATTCTGTTGCAGGATAATGCCCACCCACATGTTACCAAGATTGTTTTGACTACGCTGCAGAAGTTTCGCTGGGAACTTCTAGTCCATACACATCCTCCATACAGTCCCGATTTCTCCCCATGCAATTTCCATATTTTTGGAACCCCGAAGAAAGACATTCGTGGCTGTCAATTTGCTTTGGACAACGTGTATGTCTGGATACAATCATGGTTCCGTAGGCAACCGCAAACATTTTTCTATGAAGGCATTGACCATCTTGTCTCACAGTGGGATAAATGTATTAACAGTTATGGCGATTACTTTTGAAATAATAAACAGTTTACTTACTTTTTTCCCATCTGTCTCGTTTTCATTTGACTGACCCTAACATATCAAAAAAATTGCACATAGTATANTACTGTACATTAAGATTAATGCAGGAAAAAGCATTGACTTATTTTTGAACCCGAATAAGGAGAAATACAATTAGTTTTACTATTTTAATGTTCTCTGCTATGTTCTGAATTTAATGATTTTTTGGTTTGCTTACTTTTGAAATATATTTTTATTTTTTACATTTATCAATACTTTGAAATGACAATTTTTTTGGTTAATCAAAATCTTTTTGAAAATGAGCTGTATTATATGTAATGCTCTGGACATCAGTACATAGTGTAAGGATGTACGGTGTTTGTTGTCACTACATGATACCTAATTCGCCAGGAAACTGAGCCTAGGAAAGATCTGCGGGTATAAATCATGTTTGTGGGTGTCGATGAATTTAGACTCCAAACGCCTTTACAAGTTTATTGTCACAAAACAAGGTTGCTTACATAGTTAATTCTTCAAGTTCTGTTGATCATCCAACAAAGACTTTTTTGCCTTGAGATCAACAGTTTATAAGTTCACGGTGAAGTTCAATTGGCACTGGGTCCAGGATGATGTGGCTGATGAGGTGGTGAAATGAGTCACTTAGTTCTTGAAATATCTTAGTTCTTGAAATATCACCGCTGTGTGGAATGCTTCATCACACAGTGGTTCTCTATCTTTCTTCTGAGTTCCTCAACAATAAGGTCGGGCTGGAGTTAGTAGACTGATGCGAGTGAATAGAAATATATTGATGGTACCCAGTTCAGGTTGGAGATTATATAAAAGGTTGGAGAAGCACGATTTGACCTTGAGATGTGGGTTTATATAGAATTTTTCCAAGGACCAAACAATTTAATTGATCTCAAATCCTTCTCTTTCCTCCCCGATTGTTCCCTTCTTTGTTTCCAAGTAGGACGAGACCTGATTGGGGCATGAGAAAGGTCAGATCTCAATGTTAACCCAACACCACATCACAATCTCAATGACGGGATGTTTAAATGAACCTTGAAACTTTTGCTCGTATTTCTATAAGTTTTGTTTTCTCTCTTGTCAAAAATTTTGATTAATAAATAAAATTTATTAATCGAAATATTTTATAGCACTTTGAGTTTGCTGTAATTTGTCCAATTTACCAGCACCCAAGCCAAAGTTCGTCTTCCCGGTTAGACACGTAAACTCAGTCATCTGACACTTACATCTATTGTTTTTTTTTTATCTTCATGTTGTGTTTATCTTATGAAATTCCTTTCCCAAGTGGATAGTTTTTAAACAAAAGTTAGTGAGGGGTTAAGACCTCATCCAGAACCTCACATTAGTACATTCTGATATACATATATAAAACCTATTGTATAATATAAGTCTCTTTGTTTTTATGTACATGTATTTGTGTGATATGAACAATCAGGTAATAAACATCTTCACAAGCAAATGGTCCTATTCTAATATTATTAGAGTAAGGTCAGCAGAAGCATAATTAAAAAGCTTAATAAGCTTGTTAATTTTATGCTCTGGTTTATTGATAAACATATTTTAATGAATAGATGAAATAACCACAATTTGTAGAACTGAATATGTAACAAATTGAATGCTTTTTAATAATACTAGAAATAACAATACTCTTTACGGAAAACAAAATAAAGTCAGTCCCCAAGTTACATTCTTAAGTCTGTCTTTAGGTTGAATTTATAAGTCAGAACATGTATATATGGTTGGTATTTACCATCAGTTACTTAAATGTTTGTCTTAGTATGTAATATATATTTTACATAAAACACTTACAGATCACTTCCAAAGAAGGCCAGTTATGACGAACTAAGAAGAGGCTAAGCGCCTCAGCCTAGTTGGCAGTACCCATATATAGTATACACTTTCACTTTCATCATGTAAACTTAAGCTACTGTTACAGTTTTAACCCTTATACTATAGCTAATAAACTCAATGCTGGCTGGAAAAGAAAAAACATCATTCAGAATTTTTTTAGTTTGCCCCAATGATTTATTCTTTCCTATGGGACTGCTTCCAAATACATTAAAACATATTAAACACAATAAATACAGAACATAATAATAACTAACATGATAGAGTATGTTAATGTTTTGTGATAAAGAGATGATCCTACATTATAAATATGAATAGGATTCTCATTTATTATAGTTACAAAAATTCCTGTACAATGTCCTACTCTACATTGAAATTTAAGTTTTAGAATTTAATTAAATTATAAATTTATAATACTACTAAATGAACATAACATAACTTTTAATTAATTTCATTTATTTATAAAAATACATATTTAAAAAACTTGTAGATGAACACAATCACAATAATAATGACTTTTTGTCTAATAATTTAACTGGAATGAACACTTCAGTTCTGATGTGATAATATAATATGTTAAAACAGTCTTAAATTTCTACAACATCTATACTTGGAAATTTCAGTTTCAAAATATTCAGATATGAATGTAATGAATTTGACATATCAAAAATAATAAGAATATTTTATGAGACTATGAGCACTAAATTTTGGCTCTACGGAGGACTTATCACACACTATTGACATAGAGTAATCACACAGAAGTCTGTAGACAGGTTTATTATTATTATGATGGTATGTATTTCGGACAGGTTGTCTGTCCCTCTGCAGTTGCATTTATTACAATTCGTCATCATAATAATAAACCTGTGACTACAGACTTCTGTGTGATAAGTCCTCCATACAGCCAAAACTTAGTGCTCATAGTATCATGTTGTAACATAAGAACAAAAAGCAATTCACAAAGAACATTTTATGTTTTAATAAATAAAAATAAAATGATAATATTTTGTATATACTTGTATAACTAAAATAATATAAATAAGTAATTATAATATATTTGTTTAGTAATTTTAAATATAAATTCAAAATATAAAAAAATATAATTTCAATCTTCATCTAAGAATAATTGTTTTCATTATCATTATGCAAACCTGAATATTTTAACAAAATCATTTCTTTGGTTTTTATGTAGAAACATTTTCAAATATTTCATGTTATTGTGATATTTCTTTAATTTCTCCATGTAAATTCTTTCTATTTGATTTCCAAGATAAGTATGAATTCCAAAAGATAGCAACAACATTCACAAAAATAACTCTAAAGAAAAATAGTAAGACTGATTAAAATATGCAAAAAAATGAAATGTAATATATAATAACTCATCAATATTTTAAATAAACCAATATTAAAATCAGCTAAAATGTACATGTTATATAAAACAAATTCTGTAAAAGTTATTATAAATATAGCTTTTAATTTTAAAAAAATTGATCAAGTAGAATTTATGATAAATCAAACTTATATTTAAAAAATAATACACATTTCTGATCTACATTTGATCTACAGCTCAAATTTTCTCTTTGAATCTTTCAAGAAGTTAAATTTACAGGGCAACATCATACATATAACTTTAATGTCATTAGAAATTTCTCACTGCACAGTAACTTATTGGACACCCTGTATATTATTATTGTTTAAAAAGTCAATTTATATTAATATACCAGTGCATATATTTTTCATTAATAGTTAAGTCTATGTTTTGATACATTATATAATTTATTACATCATTCATGTTTTTTATCTTGATATCATATATAAGACGACATTCAATAATAATAATAATAATAATAATTGTTATTTATCTTAATATAATTTAAATAAATTATAGCTTATGTCAATTTCATGAAAATCATTTAAAAATTTTTGTTTATTAAATATTGTGTTTTAGTTAGAAATTTCATTTTATTCTTTTTTTATAAATATAACTTTAAAAAATTGTGAATCTAATATAAATTATATTGATGGGATGATTATCAACTTAGTTGGTTAATGATGAATGATTACTTGGGATTGTATAATCATCTAATCATATGATTAATTGTTAACTAATCATTGTCGGGTGTTTTTTAAAATATCTTATAAAATTTGAATTTTTATATACACTCATTGCCATAAAAATTAGCACACCAAGGAGTTGTCATATTGCTACAAAACTTGGCATGCAAATAAGTCTCAAGCAGATATGGAAATGATTAGAGTTATATCATGATGGCTCATTGCATAATGCCAACAGAGAGCAATAAGGTGCATCCCCTTGGCCTATAAAAATGCATGTAAAGACATCCTGTTTGAAGTTTACCTGTTGCAAAGGGATGCTGTAACACAAGAGATGCCTTTATGTTGCAATTGAAGATCATACAAACAACTAACCGAGTTTGAGAAGGTAAAAATCATCAATCTCAATGATCATTTTACTGAATATTCTGCTACCTAGGCTGTTCTGACAACACTGAGATGTTAGGAGCAGTGAATGAGAGAAAGTTTGCACACACAGCATCCAAGCTCAGGATACCCTTGGCAGACTATTAGCTGAGAGGACCATCTGGTCCTCCAACAAGCACGCACACAGCCGACTGTATCATTGTCTACCATCCAGACACAGGTAGTGCTTCATTACAGGCCCTTATATCTATCTGTACCATTTCAAGGCTCCTGGGTGAGAAACATTTAGCTGTCATTGACACTACCCACTGTTGCCTCCATTTGGAGTAGTCCAATCATTCCCGACAGGATTGGACCACAACTGAATGGAACTGGATCATACACAACAACAAATCCAGATTCAGTTTAGACACTGATGACAACAGTGTTTGTGTCTGGAGGCCTGGTGGTAAACACCTCAATCCTGCCTCTGCTTTGGAGTGGTACACCACCCCCACAGCTGGTGTGATAATCTGAGGTGCCATCACATATGACTGCTGGTCACCTCTAGTAGTGATCCAAGGGACCATGATAGTCCAGTGGTATATTAATGACATCCTGCAGCCACATGTGTTGCCTCTCATCACAGGTCTCCCAAGAACCATTTTCCAACAGCCACATTGCCACACTTTCCTGGCCTGCCCAATCCTGATTTGTCACTGATCAGACATGTCTGGGATCATCTGTGATGCTAAGTTGGACAGCCTAGGAGTTTGACTGAACTAGAGGACCACTTGCAATAACTGTGGACTGAGATGTTGCAGGACACCATAATAATACTAAAAATAACAATATGCCTTCATGCCTGCCCATATCACATAGTGTATTCACACTACAGGTGGCCCAACAGGGTACTAGAACCTCCTTTCATTTGTAGTTTTTCCTGCAATAAATTATCCTTTTGCTTTCATTTTGTAATCACTTACATCATGGTTACACTCACACACATACAATTTAGTTCTATTCTGAGAATTCATTATCATTATGCTTTATACAGTATATTAACAGGTGCATAGCATAATCATGCTGCTGTTTTTATATTCACATAATAAAGAAACTCAGAATCTCTCTTGTTTTTCATTCTGTTCACATTGCATTCTAGTAGGCCTGCTTATAAGATTTTAAGAGAGTAGTGTGTGATTAGGTATATAAATAATTGACTTAAAACTGATGCAATTGACAGATAACAACTTTTCAGCCACACTGGATTCTTAAATTCAAAATGCTTGGATGCTATGTGTACTCTCTTCCTTGCTCCTTTAATGCCTCTTTCAGGTTATTTCCTATTCTCTAGTAAATCAATGTAACAAATCTAACCTATTTATAATATTTAGAGTTAACAACTGTCTGCTTTTGAACTGAACTGTCCAGTTACGTAGGGTCTGGTACCAATCTTGTCTGGTATCCAACTGAAAAGTCAAACCGAACATTGGACAATTTCATTCGAATAATGTACAGTGACAAATTACTAATAACAGAAATAATTTACTGTTTTGATAATTTTGATTATACTAGTTTCTTGAAATTTAGTTTTGTTATAATGCTTTGTTATCTTTATTAATATGGATTATATACTTTATTGGCAGTTCTATACTGATGCCATTCTGAGCAAATATATCTAGCATTTTTCCATTATTAAGAGATAAATTAATTGATTTATGTCACAATTACTTCCACACAACAGACAATCTTTCAAGTGCAATATAGTTTACAAAACAATATGAAATAATTGGAAATATAATAACAATCTACTTGTTTAAAAATAAAAAATTTCTTTCAAAAATAGGCAGATGCACACTGAAAATTAATTGATTGAAACTAATTGCTTAAAAAATATATACTTTTAAAATGTATTAATACCATAATAGAATATTTTCAGTCTGAATGAATAAAAATTTCAGATGAGAAAAGATGCAAAAATTAGCAGTTTCTAATGGAACTGGATGTGTTGCCATGGTTATTCTGAATTATTGTTATTAATAAAGCTATCATTTCTTTAAATATCATTCATTTTTTAATGTTAATTTAATAATTTTAAATTTAAAAAGTAATAATGTTTTCTAATGGAATAATAATTTACAAATTATTCTGATTATTGGAGAAATAATTGTCAAGTGATGATTAATTAATGGAGGAGACAATTAGTACAATTCACAATTAGAAACAATTAATCAGTACATCTCTAATAAATTATGTTAATAAAATAATTTTTCAAATCTGAAATTATTAAGGAATGAAATATAAAATACCTGAATTGAAAGGGAATTACATAAAATGTAAACAGTTGAACAGTTGGCCATAGCTGAAATATTTTAGTTTTTTTTATAAAAAGTAATTTTAAAGATTCAAATAAAGTGAAACATAAATATAATCATGTAAGCAATAACATTCTATCAAAATAGATATAAAGCTAAAATAGTAATCATATAAAAATATTATCATAAAAGTTCATAAAACTTCTCATCAACTTTAAAAATAAATAAATAAATAAAATTGCTGTTTACTTAAGAAACATTTTTTCATTAAAAGAAATGTTTTTTTTTGTCAAAATTTGACCATCTTAGCTTAGAACAATAAACAGTTCATAGAGAAACTGTTTAACTGGTTCTACACAAAATTAACTAATTCAGCAGTTTAATACAAACACATTACAGCCTTTCTTAAATCAGCAAAACATCAATTTAATAAACAGTTAACTAACTGGCATTTTCACATATCTTCATTGGCTATCATCAAACTGTTTGACAGGATTGAATGTTTTTAAAGATTGTAACTGGATATGAAACATCAATGCAAAGGTAGTGAGCAAAAATTGAAAATCAATCATAATGCATTGTTTGGTTTTAAATTTGTGCTTGATACCTTTGTGTTAATATTTCATATCTAGTTATAATCTTTAAAAATATTCAATCCTGTCAAGCAGTTCAATGATAGCCATTGAAGATATGTGAAAATGCCAGTTAGTTAACTGTTTATTAAATTGATGTTTTGCTGATTTAAGAAAGGCTGTAATGTGTTTGTATTTAATTAGTTCTAATTCAATTTTGACTAAAAATGTTTTTTTTTTTTTTAATAAAAACAGTTCAGTTTTCTTAAAGGAATAATGATATGATTTATTTATTTAAAAAATCTTTATCTTTTTATTTTTGTTTGAATAAAAGACTGTGAAAATAATACATTAAATGATAAATAAGAATAAAATTAAATATTGCTTACCTTATAATTAGACATCAGTATTGTTACATAATCCTAAATAAGAAATATATACATACATATATTATATAGATATAAAAAATATTAAAACAGATTAACTTATTTTAATAGAAAATAAAATTAAATAAATACAGGTAGTCTTTGGTTAACATGGTAGATCAATGCTGACTCAATGAATGAGGCAACAAGGTGACTGTCTCAAGTGGCAAAATAAGCAGTCAAAAATGTTCAAAAGAATGAATAAATAAAAATAAAAATAATAAACAAATGTACATTAAAGTTATTTATAAATTGTTCATATAAAAGTGCCAGTGCTAGAAATGTTCTTCATTAGCAACCATTCTGGAAGCAGAGGTGGAAAAATCAGTTCCACCTCAGGTGCAATTTACCATTAAACCTGCACTGTGGTAGATACATTCTTTGAAAGTAAATGAAAATTTATATTATATAAGATAAGAATATATGTAATAATGATTAAATGCATTTTTTATTCCCAATCTGTATTTTTGAAATTGCTTTGACTATTTTTGTTTGTTCATCTTGCAGGATGGTAAGTCACAAGTCTTTTGTTGTGCAAATGCTACAACTTGGAAGCATGTCAAATCCTCATCATCTAGGTGCTGAATAAATACTCTTTAATGTAGATTGTATTTGCTGTCATAGCAAAACAATTAATATTACAACCAAATGCTTCAAAATACTTAAGACAGAGATTTTTAAATTTTAATTTTATTCTGTGAACATCCTCTTTTAAATGATAGAAAAAATTCAAAGATTTTTCTTAGGATTCATTGCTTCAAAATCTTTTCAAAATTAAAAATTAAAATAAATCTTGTTTAAAAAATAAATTATTTTATAATTTATTTTGTTTCTAAAAAATAGATTAATATATTCTCCATGCAACACCTACTAGTGACTTCCCCGAAACAGCATTATTAGGGGCAGTCAAATGAAAACGAGACAGACTATATAACAAGTGTGGCATGGAAGTTGGTAATGCAGGTAGGTGTGTATATAGAAGTGCCCTCTATTAGGAATCAGGAAGGAACAGCATGAACGTTCATTGCTGTGCCATTTGTCTATTAGATGTGCTTGAAGTGAGGTCGACGAGTCGTGTGTGTGTCCAACATCACTAAGGAGGTCCGCTGCTCATTGACTTTCTGGAACACGGTGCCACAATTAACACACAGCAGTACATAGAAACTTTGCAAAAATTGAAGCGTGCCATCAAATCCAAACACCCAGGAATGTTGACAGACAGCATCATTCTGTTGCAGGATAATGCCCACCCACATGTTACCAAGATTGTTTTGACTACGCTGCAGAAGTTTCGCTGGGAACTTCTGCAGTGTAGTCCATACACATCCTCCATACAGTCCCGATTTCTCCCCATGCAATTTCCATATTTTTGGAACCCCGAAGAAAGACATTCGTGGCCGTCAATTTGCTTTGGACAAGGTGTATGTCTGGATACAATCATGGTTCCGTAGGCAACCGCAAACATTTTTCTATGAAGGCATTGACCGTCTTGTCTCACAGTGGGATAAATGTATTAACAGTTATGGCAATTACTTTTGAAATAATAAACAGTTTACTTACTTTTTTCCCATCTGTCTCGTTTTCATTTGACTGACCCTAACATATCAAAAAAATTGCACATAGTATAAAATTGTTCATAATTAATAAACAACATTGTAATTAGAGATTGTAATTGAGAATTCTCAAGAAAGTAACTTATTTATTCTCATTTCTTGTAAAATTTTTATTTAAAAGTTTTGAGATTTTTGTTTCTTAAGAAATTATTTGTGAGAATTAGAGGAATTTCAGAAATAAATAATAAAAATAACAAGTTTTTAAATACAGTACTATTATTATTTTAAATATATATTTAGCAATTGATTTTAATTCTATTCACATTATTAAAATGTTTCATTGTTGTAACATCAAATGCACATCAAAATTTTATAATATTCAACTGTATATTTCATTTTCAAATGTAGAAGAATTTTTCTTCACAATAAAAACAAAATATAATTATTTTATTAAAAGTAATACTATCCTTGAAATGATTTTTTCAAGCTAGATGCAAAAGATGGTACAAGCATCACCCATTTTAAAGTCAATAATCTGAACAATCCTAATAGTGCTGAAAATCAGATGTTCTTCATGAAAACATTAGTCAGGAGCTTATTTCCCATGAATTTTAAATAGAAAAATTTATAATACATTACAATGTTAACCCAAAATCTCTAATCAATTTCCTAAAATATGACTAAAATGCAGTAAAACAAATTAGTATGTTAGGATATAAAAAACTTACATAAAACATTGCTAAGTAAACATCAAATATTTAATATGGATATTATCAGCTGCTTTGGACATAGTACAGTCTTCATGTTATACGATAAACATTACATAACCATATCTTGATACTTAGAGCATTTTTCAAAACCATTATACATGATTCTGACATGTTATTAATTGTAATTGAAACATTGCTCCAGACTTTTCTTGCATATAATTTTGTTAAAAAATTGTAGCAAATTTTTGGAACATAAATATAAGTTTTTCCCAAATAAACACTGATTGAAAAACGCATTGAGAAATATATATGTTCTAAGAAGTTTGGGTGTTAATAATCAAGAAAATGTTAACTGGGGAGATGTTTTATGTTTACAGTATCTGTATATCAATATTGACAATTTGCAAAGTGAATTTATATGTCAATTTTTATGTAGTTGTAAATTTCAAAATTTTAATTTAATAAAACAACCATTTAAATTTTGATAGATTATAAATATTTGTCAAAACAAAATATATAATAGAAGATTGTTTTTAAACCTTTCAATTTTCATTTTGTATGTAGAACAATCATATTTTATTGGTTTTCATTCTGAACTATTCTCAAAGAGAACATCTAAAAAATATCTCAGTATGCAAGGATCAAAAAATATTGTAAAGAGATAATTCTCAAGAATCAAAAACTGTTGAGAATTCACAAGCACTGGTTATAATGAAAGCATGTTAACTGAAGACTATCTGTACTTAAATTAACATTTAACCTTTTATTCAAATCTAATATAAGAATATTTACCCGTTGTATCCGTTTTTTAATTTCAGTGGATGTTTCATTTTGAAGAATACCCATAATAGTCACAAAATTGATTAAAAAAATAGGTGCAAATACTGTCTGAAAATTATAAATTATAATTTTTAATTTAAATAAGCAATTTTCATTATAATAAAATTAAGATATTTTGTTATAATTACTAATAAAAATTTCATTTTATCCTTTAGGTATATATATTAATATAATTTTCTTCCACAAAATATAGATTAATTGAAAAATAGTGATAAAAAATAATGAAAACAAAAAATAATTATAAAAATCTATCAGAATAAAGCAGTTGCCAATGATGTAAGCAATTATCAACAGGAAGATGCCATCTGTAGTTAACAGTGGCTCTTTGATCAATGTTATATCTGATGTATGAAAGACAATTGGCAAGGTAAACCAACATTTACAACTGATTAATATTCAGACATTCTCATGCACATCTGGAAAACACTTACAGTGTACACAGGGAATGGCAGCCACAAAATTAAATTTGTTGTTCTTGAGGGAAAGCACTCTTATCTCTTAGGAAAAATTGATTCTTTGACATCAGGATTAATCAAATATATGAGGGTGGATCAAATATAAACGGGATTTATTTTATGTTTTAGAATTATTTATTAAAAAATAAAAAAGCATTATGATTTATTTTTCTACATAGCTTCCTGCTATAGAAATACATTTTTTCCAGCGAGAAGGAAGGTTTCTTATTCCAGTATTGTAAAATGAAGTTGGTTGTGTCAGGAGCCAATTGCACACAAATTCCTCCACTCCTGCATCACCTTCGAATCGCTGCCCTCCTATAGTTTCTTTAAGCAGCCAAAACAAATGAAAATCGCAGGGTGATAGGTCTGGGCTGTAGGGAGGATGATCAAGTGCAGTCCAGTGCATTTCATTAGGTTTTGAGACTGTTAGAGCTGTAGTATGGGGCCTGGCATTGTCATGGAGGAGAATGACATCTCGATTGCTTGACAGCTTCCACAACTTATTCCGACCTTCTCTGCAATTTTGCAAACTCTGATTCGTCTCTCCTCTTCAATAATGTCTCGAACTGCTTAAATGCTTTCTCTTGTGATGCTGGTCTGAGGACAGTGATCATGTTTATGATTTTCCACTCGTGTCCTTCCTTCCTTGAACTTTTCATGCCAGGCAAACACACAAAACCTTGAAGGTGTTTGATCCCCAAACTGTGCAGTCAATCTGCAAAAAATTTCTGTCGCGTTGACTCCTTTACGAGCAAGAAATTGTATGATTATGTGTTGCGCAACAGAGGGGTGTACTTGTTGCTCTGACATCGTGAGCACTACTGAAGAATTGGTTGAAAGTATAAAACGACTGGCGTTCCCCACTCCTAATGACCCTACCCGATCAGACTAGATGCGTGGGCTCTGTACTGCCAACCTTAGTTGCTCAGGAACAAAAATCCCGTTTATATTTGATTCACCCTTGTAGTTTATCACAGACATCAATTTAGATAAAATCTTAAATAAATACAAAGACAGTTTCAACAGATTAGGAAAACTATGAGGAGTTCAAGCAAAATTTAAGGTGTTACTCAAAATTGTGCCTAGAGATATAACCAGAAAGACATGCTGTATCATTTGCACAAGAATGTTAAAAGGGAGGTTCAAAGATTTTTGAACCATTGTGTTATTAAGAGGATAAGCAGCACAACAGTATGGCTATCATTAGTTATTCTAGTTCAAAAGAAACATGCTTCCAAAAGCTTGTGCTTGGATGTTACAAGGTGAACAAGGCAATCAAGAAAGCAAATGTTACATATCAACAGTAGATGAGGTTCTAATAGATATCAAGGAAGCAAGCAAAATGGACTTTAGAAAAGGTTCCATGAAATTGACCCTGGCATTTATCAATTCATTACACTTTTTGGCATCATTTTGATACCTGAAATTTTTCAGAAATTAGTATAAAAATCCTGACAGGATGCAAAGGAATTCTGCAACATAAATACTAATGTACCAATTTAATCTAAGGAGATAAAAGAACAGCCAAACATTTTGAGAAAGCTATTGAGTATTGGGTTAAGACAGAAATGTTACTTTGTCCAATCTAAATTGATGTTTATGGGTTTAGAAATTTGAAAACAAGAGTAGATTATTCAATTGAGGATGACTCAGAACATGTCAGAATTGCACACTTTTTGTGCTAGCCATAACTCTTGTTTTTCTAGGAGGAATTTAGTTATCATCATTGGATGATAAGTAAATTCCTTTTCAGAATACAGAGTAACAATATAGAGTGGTGGGACAGGGGTCCACAGTAAGTCAGAGTATTTTACAATATTAAAAAAGAAACTGGAGAGTACGCCAAATTATCTTTCTTTCACATAATTATCAAACATTTCTTTATATAGATGCCAGTCCTGATGAGTTAGGGTCTGTTTTAGTGCAAAACCAAAAAAGATATTATCAAACTCATTCATTACCTTTACTATCAAAACTAACTTCAACAGTTACTCCCAGATGAAAAAAAGAGGCATTAGTAGTAATTTGGAGCAGTAAAACTTTTAGTAAATTTTAAATTAATAAAGAATTTGTCTTTACTGCTGATTGGCCAGATGGCCAAGGCAGTTAGGACATTAGCCTACTGATCTAGAGACCTGGGATCAAATCCAGGTAGTCAAAAAATCCCAGGGATTTTTTGACTACCTGGTATTTTTCAGAAATTAGTATAAAAATCCTGACAGGATGAAAAGGAATTCTGCAACATAAATACTAATGTACCAATTTAATCTAAGGGGATAAAAGAACAGCCAAACATTTCGAGAAAGCTATTGAGTAGTGGGTTAAGACAGAAATCCCAGGTTAAGACCAGGGTTAAGACAGAAATCCAAAAAATCCCAGGGATTTTTTGACTACCTAAATGGTCTGTCCTGGATATATTTGGTCCAATCTCTCACCACTCAGCCATCTCATTTTGTGCCTGGTTAAACCTACAATAGGCCTAAAAATGGTTCTCTTAGTGCCCATAGGAAGGAGAGAATTAAATAAAACCATTACTGATCATACTGTTATAAGGGGTGTTTGGAAATGAGAGAGTCACTTTTAATCAATACTGTTTTACTAGAACAAATGAATGTACAAAGATCAATTTTGATCTTGAGATAGCCCAAACAGTTCAATTTCAAGTTTTAAATTTTTGCTGGAATTACTATTACTAAGGAACATTTAATTACTAAAAAAATTACTAAGGAACATTTAAAAGAAATATGATGATAGGCCAGGAATTTTTGGAAGCAACTACGTCTTAATTTTTAAAGTTCAATTTCAATTTTTGCAAAGTAATGGACCATAGACATTATGTTGTCTATACATTTCAATTTTTCTTGAACTTCTGCCATGAACTCCATGCTAGACTTTTTTCCAACTTTTTGAGCATATTTCTCCAAATTTGTTTCAAGTACTTTGCACTACAAGGACAAGAGGCATATTACTGCTTGCATTATGTCAAAAATCTCTCAATTGAGTGGCATTGTTTTCTTTTTCCACAAATTTAAGTCCAATATTTTGAAGGTAGTCAGTAACATTACAGACATAATGAATCATTGCTATATCTGGCCAGTTTATTACCACAGTTTCCACATTATAGTGTTTTTGGTTAAAGAGAATCAAGTGCTTTTTAATACACTCTTTGAGGTATATATCAGCATTGATAGATCCACAAAAAATGAGGATTTCAAACATGTGTCTGCATTTATCAATTGTCTGTCTTATTCAGTATTTTTTTTCAAAAATTAAACTTTTCCTATAAACCTGACTTCATGTGGTACAGCACATTTGACTTGTTAGTGGAATGGTAGAATTTTATTTCAGGCACCTGTTTTGGATCTTCAAGGCATATGTCTCATCATCTAGCACAAATATTTTCTCTCCTTTGGCATGCAACTGAACATCAACATGGTTTCAGCAATTGGTTTTAACTCTACATTCATGCTCCTGATTGTACTTTAGATGCTAGTTTCTTTTTTTGGACAGTGATGCCTCAGGGTTCCACTTGACTAGGCATTTCATTGTCTGCATAATTCTAATGGTGCCTATGATTGTAGGTCAACCAGTAGATTTTTGATATTCTGTTGTTCCATGTTCTTTGAACCTGTCTAATATACAACTGATAGTTGTTCATCAAATATTTTCAAGCATAACATGTTGCCTAGGTTTCTTTCAAACTCTTCCCAAAATGTTTACATAGTAATGGTATATACACAGAACAAGACCTTCCTTCATTTCTTTAACTCTATGTTGACACTCTCCTCTTCTTTTTAAAGTGATATTGTCTGTAGGTGCACACATCCAGACAAGTAGGCTTACAAGTTTTATCATAATTTGCATCAGACACCTACATTAATACATTTCATTTCCAAACACCCCTTACTTGTTAAAATCATTTCTAACATCTAGAATTGAATTGAAACTTGTAGTTTTGAAGTGCAGAGGAATGTAAGGTAGATATGACCTCATGACCTAGTAACCAGCTCTATGAACAAAAAAAGGTTTTGGTGAATGTAGTCAGTGATCTTTATTGTTTCATAATATGGGAACTGTGAAACAATAAGGATGTTCGCACAAGTTGCTGTAATAAGTGTAACTGATTAATTAATAAATGAGTAGGTACAACATAAAATACTACAATGTGCATTGTTTGATTTATCTATTTTGTACTTTATGATGAAGTTCTGTTATGTTATTGTTACTTATTGTACAATAATTAGAATTTAATTATTTTAACTATAACTCAGCTTTGTAACATTACATATAAGATATACAATATTTACATTATATATTTTAAATGTAACATTACTGTATAGGATATGACAGATTAACCTGACAGATTTTAAATTGAAATAGCATACAAATTATGTAATTGTGCTAAATTAATTTATCATCATCCTGCACTTAAAATAGGATTCATAAATAATCACTTTTGAATATTATGTCTGTGAAGTAGCATTTATTGTTACATATTCTTGCAATTGTTCCCTAAAACTTTGCATGATTTCCTGCAATATTTTAGAGAGAACTGATATCCCTTCATCTCTGCTTCAACTCTGCCACAGTCCTTGAATTGTCCAGTGATTGCCCTGTCCTGTTGAAACCACAGATTCTAGTATTCAATATCACACTAGCACAGCTTCAAGCTTCAGTTCAAGAAAAGTTGTAAAGTATTTCAATGTTTCAAGCTGAATTTACTGTCACAGTCCCACCTTTGTCTTTGAAGAAATATGGGCCAATCATTTCAAAAGTTGCTACATCACACCAAGCAATAACTTTAGCACCGTGTAAAAGTGGCTCATGTAATTCTTGAGGGTTCTCATAAAACAAAATGTATTTTTATTATTTTATACCAATTCTTATTACATGACTTTGAGTAAAAATGTGTGCTCAAGGTCACTTTCCTGTAAATTTTGTACAGGATATGGCAAATTAATCTGATTGTTTTTAAATACAACTGACTAAACACATTAGGGTGTACTGTGCTCAGGTCAGTTGTATTTAAAAACAGTCAGATTAATTTGCCGTACATACCCTGTACAAAACTTACATTATACATAAAACAAATGTTATATTGTTTATAACATTTGTATATAATCATCAATAATTAATAACAATAATTATTGTTATTCAATATTATCAATATAATTATAATTATCTAAATATTATGAATGACTGCATTGAAATTATAATTTTATAAACATAAATATTGCATCAAACACTTCTTTCATCAGATATTATATTAATGTAAATATTAAGTTAAAGAGCTTAAAAACACTTTATTTTATGAATATTTCATAATTCTGACAGATTTATAATTTAGAACATTAAATATTCTTTTTAAAAATGATTTAAAGTTCAAATTCAAACAGAAATTTTAAAACCAACATTTGATTTTTAGGTGTCAATATCTTGCTATTTTCCCCATATATTTGCAATATAAGCCACATCAAAGGATCAAAATTGGATTTTTCTTATTGAATCTTGTTTTGAGGTAATTGCTACTAACTTTTATGCAATTCTTATGGACATGTTTTTAAAAACTGACATAACTACCAATACTTTTTGATGTAAATACATCTATGTCAAAGGGTATACTATAAAGATAGTGTGACAGAAACACATCACATTTCATAGAAGTCTATGTCATACATAGCCAACCAGAATCAGAGTTTCATCTATGGTATGTGATCTACATATTCTACCAACCATACAAGTCTTTGCACTCCAGCAAACAGGAAGGACAGTCATCATTTTTCTCCTGCTTTGAAGATTTAATTGACAATTTCAAATACTTACAGTACATTTTGATTTAAAAGTTTGTTGTAATCTGCATATATTTTGATGGTAGTTACATATTTATTAAACACTTTGTTAATTACTTTTACAGTAGTTTGAGATGAAAATGATTCCTATTCCAGACGATGATAATAAGGTGACCAACTATTTTACAATGAAAAGGAGGACACAAATAAATTGAAGGAAAAAATATCGTAATAAACATTTTATTCATTGATACAATAATACACTATAATAATATCTATTGCATGTGTATGTGTTGTGTAATATTTCAGTAAGAAGTAAACAAAGCCATTTCCACGCAGCGTGCTCTCTCAACTCTCAACGGAGTGCATGCGTCTCATAATCACATCTTGCTGCACTGTACCAAGCCTTGATATATGATCACGTTAAATACAAACACATCACATACAACGGATTGGCTTGGCATTGATTGAATATGGAGATTTACAGATTAGCCTTCAAATATTGAAAAGGATGACATGTAGGAGGACACTTTTCGAGGGAGGACAGAACTTAAAAAAGGAGGATGATTGGTCACCTTATGATAATGATGGAACATCTGGTTCCATTACAGTGCAGTTTTATTTTACCCTTTAAAAAAATTTAGTTTTTTAATTCTTTTTATGTAAATACATATATGTGGAAGGATACACTAGAAAGATTGCATGACTAAAGTCATATCATAAAAATGTAAGTCCATTTTAATGCTTAATAACATGGAATGTGTAAGTAATAGAATACATTATGTAAAATAAAGTACATTTAATAAACTTTAAAAATTTGTAATTTATTTTATTTCTAGTTGTAAAATATTTTGTTTATAATAAAAGATTACATGCATTTTGACACAATGGAGATGAAAATTTATTTCAACTCCTAAACCATAACAGATAGATCTAGACATCTTGCATAAGAAATACCTTACAAATCTTTTAACGCTTTTAAAACCTGAAATTAGATTTTATGTAGAACACATGGTTTATAAATTACAAGCATATAATTTGTCAAATAAAGTCACTTGTACTGAATGCCTCTCTAACAACATTCCTATCAATGATTATTAAGGCATTTGGGTACTTATTCTTTTAAATTTACTGACACTTTACGACTATGGCACAAGAAGGTCATAATACTATCCCCATAATTTTAGCAAGAGGTTTTAACACAAACTTAAAGAAAAAAGAAAAGAAAACTTTTTATGAAAGATATGTTTGACATAAAATTGGTGTCAAACCCACAACTTGGCACTATCAGATATCAACTTGACAACCCACAACTTGGCAATCTTCCATAGAAATGGTGTTTGAGAAAAATATTAATATTAATACCTTAAATTATGCAGATTATATGACTTAGTTCAGCTATCATAGACCTACTTTAACTGTAACTAGCAATCAAACTGACACTGCAAGTAACTGACGAATAAAAATTCATATATCAAATCTAAATACTGTAAGGTCTCGTTTTATGCGGTGGATACGTTCTACAGAAAAGCGCATATAAAAAATTCGCATAAAAAAAGACTTTACTTGCATTGAAAAAGTAGGGATACGTTCCGTAATTTTCTAAAATCGCATAGAACCAAAACAACGAGTTAAAATTAACTTAAAACCGCATAAAAAAGTTTGCAGAAATTAAAAGAAATAGGCTGCTTAATAAATTACTTCGAATGTCTGAAAGAAATTCATATAAAAGCTTAAAATAAACTTGTATTCAAACTTAATTCAGTTTATTTTATTGAAAAGTAATA